TGTATGTATGTATGTATGTATGTATGTGTTGATTAAATTTTAGACTAGTTTTTTAATTGAAATGTTGATGTTTCTAGATCAAAAACTGGATGTACTACAGATAAACGTCTTTGTCTCTCAAATTGACGTTTGTAAAAAATTAATAAAAACAAAATAATTAAAGTAATTAAAACTATAAAAAACACTGCAATAATTAAACCTATTGGAAATCTATTAACATTTTGTTCAACTATTTTAGAATCGGAGCTAACACATTTTTGATTATAAATGCTTAAACATTTACAAGCATTGCACTGAAATATTTCTATAAATAAATCTTGTTCATGCCTTATGTTTGTATACTTTATATCTATAGTATAATTTAAATATTTCATAATGCCATTTACAACTTGGCTTTCATTTACATAAACAAAATACTTAAAGAACAAGTATTCATCAATTATTTCCCCATAAAAACTTAAAATTAAAGTTTCTTTATCTCTTGTGCAGTAAATTTGTCCAGCATTAGGTAAAATCAAATTTTTTTCTATAAAAACTGAGGCTAACTGAGTTTCTTTTAAATTCGGAATACATCGAAGAAATGTGGTTTGTAGATAAATTGTGTAATTCCTACAGACTTCTAAATTAGTCAACTCACACTCTTGATAAACACAACGTATTTGATTCGAGATTTTTGAAGAATTGTTGGGGGAAAACTGAATTGTTTGTAGAATACTGTCACTGTTTATGGGGTTATGTTCAAAGCTTAAATTTATTTTTACAATATCTTTTTGATAAGCAATATTTAAATTTGTTTTCAAGGAATAATTTTCACATTCACATTCGTAAAATCTTTCAGGGCTATATATTTCTCTGGATAATACAGTCATATTCCCATAAATATCTTTTTGAACTAACAAAAACAGCCATGTTTCTAACTCAGAATTTACTAAGCATCGAACAACTCCATCTTTATACCAATCACATTGTTCTTCATAAAACTCCTCTATACATTCTGGTGGATTAGCTTCATCTGTAAATTTACATTGCAACAACGTTATTGATGTTGTGGTGTTAGTGTGATATAGAAAATAAAAGTGGTAAGGTTGAATCAAACATTTTGCATTTTGAATGGTTAAGAAGCTGAATGAAAAGCATAAAACGAACAAAACTACAAGCAAGATATGCATTATCTAAAAATTTAATTGTGGGGTTAGTTAATTGTTGCTTAGAATTTCATTTTATTTTAATGTCTATTTTATAGGGTTGATGCATATTTCCATATCGTGATGGTAGGAGGTGCTGCAACGTCCGCACAACTTGTAATTACGTAGCGATGATATATATATAAACTAGATGTGTAACTTGCGGGATAAAAAACGAAGCTGCTTTTTTTTGTTTATACATAATAATAGTCCGCCATATGTAAAAATGACAAAAGCTGAAACCGAAAAGTTTAAAATACAAGTCTCAAATTTCCGATAATTTAAAGATAATTCAAAAAGAAGTTTTAGTAATTATAAAATACTCATAAAAGTTTTTTTTATAAGCCAATGTTTATTAAAAAGTACTTTAATTCATAAAAATGCTTCAAAAGCATCTGCCGTTTTACTTTACTAATCAAAACTTTAATCCCTTTTTAATCGAAAATAAATTAAGAAACCATTTATTATTATTTTACAAGTATTCTAACTTCCGCTTAACACTTTTACATAAATAGTATTTAAATTTAAAATATATTTTCTTAATTTAAAAAAAGAAAAGTTAAAAATATTTGTTTACAAATTTAATCCGCCTTTTGTAAAAAGGGCAAAAAGCGGCTTTACTTTTCGAATTAATGTTAGACATCTAGTTTATCATTGATAGGGTCATGGCACCCCTTACCGTGAAGAAGCACCTACCGTGTTTTTTGGAAAAATCAGAATTTTTAACGTTTTTATTAAAAAAAAAATTTTTTTAGTATTGTTTTATACAAAACTAACTTATTTCAGTAATAATATATTTTTTAAAAGATATGTTTTTAAAGATTGTAGATGTTTTTTTACCCGCAAATGATTTTTTATTGCTTTCTTAAGAAAATTATTTACGGTAAAAAAAAGTTTGTCTAGTTTTTTTTAGGGCTTAAAATTATATATATATTTTTGATAAAAGTTTAAAATAGTTGTAAAAACATTGAATATTTTAAATTTTGTTGTTTCCTCGTGCTACACACAACTTACAACCATTAAATGTGTCAGTTTTTAGACCAATGAAAAAAAAATTGAAGAACAGATGTCGGCAATTTAAATTGGATAACGACTTTAATGAAATTCGCAAAGGAAATGTACCAATGATGTTGAATAATTTTGTTATGGATCCAAATATGAAAATAAGAATATTATAAACGGATTTAGGTCGACAGGAGTATTCCCATTTAATGCGAACAATTTTGATTATAAAAAAGTAATTCAGCGTATTAAATTTTTCATTATTATCAATTCTACAATTGATAATAATGAAACGAACCTTTCAAGCCGTTGCACCTGAAGTATTGTTCCAGTTTGAAAAAACTGAAAATAAAGAATGGGGTAGAAAATCTGACATAAGAGAATTATTTAATTTTTGGAAAAAACTGAAATTTAACGATAGCTTCAAACAAACCAGTAGTTTAATAGAAACCAACAATAATGTATCGAACAATGAAATCGAACAATGAAATAAAGAATTGTATTTGGATATTAGCAGTACATAAAATGAAAATGTATCTAGTAATTTAGCGAATTCGGAAAAAACGCAATAATCGATGAATCCGGTGAAAGTAAATCAGCAACAGATCCACCACGTTCAAATAAACAAATAATAAAAGATGTAAATTCATTAAACGACTTAATTTTATGGCCAAAACAACCAATCACGAAAAAATGTCTGAAACAAGTTAAATTTAACTTGTTTCAGACATTTTTTACTAGATACATTTTCATTTTTGGATGAGGTTACAAAGCTCTGTAATTGTTAACAATTACAGAGCGTTGTAACCTCATCCAAATAGTTAGAGATTCAAATAACTAAAGAAAATGCATAGGAAGAAGATATCAAAAAATTGAGCGTAAAAATAAAGCTGCTGAAAAAAAAAGAATTGAAAGAAAAACAAGAAAAATCTAAAAGAAAACATGCTGTTACAAAAGAAAATAAAAATAATAAATAAGAGAGAAATAAATAAATAAAATAAAAAATAATAGGCAAAAAAAAAAAATTCAAAAAAAGAATTCAAAAAAAAAAAAATTTTAAGTTTAGAAAAAAAGCTTTGGTCGATAATTTTATAACCAATATCTTTTTGTTTTGTAATCATATTAAATTTATGTATTTGTTTCTTGATTTAAACAAGGACTGTTATAGATCTGAGGCGCCGCGAGTATTAATGCAAGTTAATGCAAGTTTAATGCAAGCATTAATGCAAGTTTTCATACTTTTTTGTCTTGCTTGTTCTCGGTGATAACAAACATACTTTTTTTCCGGTCTGCAACATTTGTTTAGATTTTGTTTAAGGCATAATAAATTTTAGTCATAAAAAGTCATTCTTATCACTATGGTTTAAAACATAACATATCTTTCGCGATGGAGTAAGAAAATATTTAGTAAAGAAACACAGTATTTTGTTGAATATATATATATATATATATATATATATATATATATATATATATATATATATATATATATATATATATATATATATATATATATATATATATATATATATATATATATATATATATATATATATAAAAGATATATATGTCTATCCATCTATCTATCTATCTATATGTATATATATATATATATATATATATATATATATATATAATATATAAAAGATATATATGTCTATCCATCTATCTATCTATCTATCTATCTATATGTATATATATATATATATATATATATATATATATATATATATATATATATATATATATATATATATATATATATATATGTATATATATATATATATATATATATATATATATATATATATATATATATATATATGTATATATATATATATATATATATATATATATATATATGTATGTATATATATATATATAGGTATGCGCATATCGTGATTTACCGAACCGATTTTTTTGCTAAAATTTTGTGACTCGTTTTTTTCACTTCTTTTTAGGCAGCGTGGGGTAAACGTAATTTTGTGGTGTTTCTTTTTAGAAACATATATACACATAAATACTTTTTGGAAAGAAGAGAAGCTAATCTTTACTTTTTTAAAACTTTTATGTATGGTTACTAGACTTTTTAAAAGATTATTTTTCTCCTGAATATTTGGTTGATGTTTTCACATGAATTTGCAGTAGAAGGCATGTCGTGTCCGCTTTTTTTGTTATTCAGGCAATTTTTTACATGCATTTTCTATTTATGTGCCAAATTTTAACAAAAAATAATTGGGAGCAGATATGTTACAAGGTGCTTTATTAAATATACTGCTTTTTTTAGGTAGGGTTAGACAAACGTTTTTTGTGGTGTTTCTTTTTAAAAACATATATAAATAAAAATTATATTTGGAAAGAAGAAAGGTTAGGCTTGATTTTTATAGTACTTTTATGTATAATCACCAAACTTTTTTATGGTTAGTTTTGCTGAAAACTTTCAAGAAAATTTCGTTGATGTTCTCACATTAATTTGTTGTCGAAGGAATGTCGTGTCCGCTTTTTTTGTTATTCAGGCAATTTTTTACATGCATTTTCTTTGCACATGCCAAATTTCAGCAAAAAATAATTGGGAGCAGATAGTTTAAGAAGTGTAGGACTTTCGGTACCTAAATTCGGTTTTTTTTGTTTTTGTTTTATCAGTAAGAGAAATACGGGGGAGGATAGGGGGGGAGCAGATTGTAAACAAAAAATTACTTCTACATTGTATTATTTTAGTTTTTAATATTAGATTAAAATTCAAATAAAAATGGTAAAGTTATGGAAAAGAAAACTTTAAAAAGTAAGTTAATATGTTTTTCATGATAATAATAACTTTTTTAAAAAACAAAACAATGATAAATTTAAAAACCTTAATCTTTGTTTACATGGCATGTAAACAAAGATTAAGGTTTTTTAAACTATATATACCAATGATGGTAATATATACCAATGATGGTATATTAAAAAAGATTAGGATTTAAGATTAAACCGTTACTTTGGAATATTTTATTAACTAATAGTATCAAATACCATTGTTGTTAATACACCATATATATAAAAATATACAAACAACATTATTATACTTTAAAGTAAAACATTATTGGCTTAAGCCAATAACGTTTTTGACAAAATATTTTTATAATAATAAGCTTATTTTTGTAAAAATATCAAGATACTTTTACAATAATAAATTTATTCTTATATCTTGTTAGTGTATTTCTAATATACAGTAATATAATTTTAAAATACAGTAATATTATTTGTTTTTAATTTTTTTTTCATACCTTTTTCTTGTTAGTAAAGTTGTTATACGTAAAGCAGAACTGATTTAATAACTGTTATTTTTATCGACTGTTGACAATTTCAAGATCTTTTTTTTTTGATTATACAATTTTTTTGTTATCTTTATTCCAATATGCACAGACTACAGCTGGTAAGTTATTATAGCATAACTTTTATTAACCATTAAAGAAATATAAATAAATATATGTATTTCCTACTTATCTAATTATTACTTGTTGTGTATGGATTTCCCATTTGCTGCAATTTTTTAATTTTAGTATCTACCTTTTGTGTTACATGTAAGTTAAACAACTTTTTAATGTTAAAACTTTACAATACGTTTAACTTAAGTTCCTTAGTCATGTGCTGCAACTAGTAATTTAAAAAACTATTACATTTTATGTGTATGCATTTCTCGTTATTTAAAATATTGATTTTTTGTTACAACATTGTAATTTTAGTATCTACCTCTTGTGCTACACCTGGTAAGTTAAACAACTCTTTCTAATGTGCACAAATTTCTCATTGATTGCAATATTGATTTTTATAATATATTTTTTACCTTTAGTTCTTTATACGTGTGGCCTGGTAAGTTTCAAAACCTTTTTTCTTTTAACATGTGTATGCATTTCTTATCAATTGCATATTCTTTTTTGCAATTGCATTTCTTATCAACTGGTTTTTAATTAAAACCTTTTTTATATAAAAATTATTACTTTTTAGACTATGAATGCATTTATTACCATTTGCAATTTGTATTTTTTATTAAAACAAATTTTACTTTTAGTTCCATCTGTACCACCTTTAAACGGTAAATTTATAAATCTAGAATGTCTCTGATTTTTTACTGAGTTCCTCTTATTCCTATTTATATTATCTATTTAATACTTTTGTGTTTTGTTATCTCTCCAAGTGCTATAAAAGAAGAATCAGAAGCTTATACATGTTTGAGTTTTTATTCTGATTAACTTTTATTAAAATTTCATTGATTCATTAATCATTCTTTATATTTATTCAGACAAACTGTCTTAGTAAGTATTTATTTAATTTTTTTAATTTTTAATTACATGAATTACAAATACATTAATATTTTATTTGTTTTTAGAGCTTACATATGAAGCTTATAGGTCATTTCAATCTTAAAATTAAAATCATTTACTAAAAGCCAAGACATAGAGTAATTACTATGTTTTAAAACATTTTTATTATTATTTTTTTTTTATTAGAATGGTGGGTTAAATATGATCATTTAAATGAGAAAATGTATACTAGTGCAACTTGTAATCTGGTAAAACAATTATGTATTGTGCTTTCTCTTTTTTAATAATTACATGTGAAAATGTTGAAAATGTCTTTTCTATGTGTTTTCTTTTTTATGTTGGTTGAGGGGAAGGGGGAAAAACTATCTCTCTCCTCAAATTGTACATCACTAATGTATGTTCTATAGTAAAAAAAATATTGCTTTATGTAATACAACAATATTTTCAATACCAATGTATGTTGTATAGTTATAAAAGATTATTTTTTGTCACGTGGGGGGAGGGGGAGGGGTGCATCATACTTCCTTCATTTCAAGTCAATGTGTGCATCAATAATATATGTTGAATAGTAATAAAAGATTTTTTTTAATTTTTAACAATGCATTTAATTATTGTAATAAAGAACAAATTATTTTTATTTTTTATGACTGGGGGAGGGGGGCGGTGCGACATACACTCTCCCCTAAAGTTAGTGTTGTATATCACTAATGTATGTTTTATAGTAAAAAAAAATATTTTTACTTTTTAACAAAATATTTAATTACTGTAAAAAAGATTAAATTGTTTATAAGAAAGTATGATTTTTGTATTTAGGGTGTTATAACATCACAACCACATCTATGGTCAACTCTAAGATCACCTTATTTTGTTTGGCAGTGTTTTGGAATCAAGTTATGGCAATATTTTGTGTATAAAATATAACAATTACATTTAAAAAGTGCTTATTTCTGACAAAAACTTGTATTTTCTTAAGGGTTAGATGGTGTTTCATTACCCCCTCTAGCTCCCAAGATACACCCTACATCCAGGCACCAAAATGAACTTGTAGCCCATTAGTGCACCTATCTTGTGATACCAAGATATAGGTATTTGGATAAAAATTGACAAAGTTATAACAATTTAAGTGAAAAAAATAATTATTTTGACCACAGCTTCTTCAACAATTCCATATATCTAAAATTTGTTACTAAAAACGTGTAGTAACTGTAGTAACAATTATATATGCACATATTCATTATGTAGTGCATAACCATTAATGTACATTAATGTACACAATTAATTTAGCCATATAATAACGTTATATATATATATATATATATATATATATATATATATATATATATATATATATATATATATATATATATATATATATATATACATATATATGTATATATATATATATATATATATATATATATATATATATATATTTATATATATATATATATATATATATATATATATATTTATATATATATATATATATATATATATATATATATATATATATATATATATATATATATATATAATATATATATTTAACGTTATTATGCATAATATGGTATGCATACTGCACAAATTATGGCACAATAACTGTGTACTTGACTGTACATACAATGGTTATGCACTACATAATGATTATGTAGTAAACACATTATAAACATATTTTCTATAATATTCAAGTTATTTTATAATAAAGTAATAATAACATTTCATGTTGTTATTAAGAATAATTGTATTATTGACATAACTGCTCATAAAAATAATTTGAAAAACTTTGATATTACTAAATCAATATTATATCCAGTTATATAGTACTATTTCTAGATATATAATACTATTTCTAGAGTGTTAAAAATTTGAAAGTATTGAAGTGTGTCTAAATAAAACACGTTTGCACCAACTGCGATTTTATAAGCAGGAATTTTGTGTTTGTTTTCCAAACAATGTTTCCAGCATTTTTCTAAGTACTCTGACTGTTGTTGCATCGAGGAGGAACGAAAATGGGAAATTTTTTTTTTGAATTATTGGGGTAGTTTATATCAAAGAATACTACTCCATCTTCAACTTCTTTCCACCATACATTAATGCCTTCTACTAAATAGTCAGCTGATTTTTCTAAAAGTTTTTGATATTCATTGCTATTCTTTTCAATTCAAGTAAATGATATTTTTGTATCATTAAATAGACTATGCAATGGTTGGTAGAATTTGTAAAGTATTGAAACACCATCACATAACTTTTTCCCCTCCTTTAAATATCTTTTTGCTTGGTTGCAAATTATTGCATTAAAAATAACATTATCTGAATGATAATTAGAAGATGTTTTTGTAGACAGTTTCAAATTTTGAAAAATTGCTTCTTCTTTTTCCACATTAGACGTACGACCTGCAAACAATCTATACTGTAGTGGAGCATGTGATGTGATTGAGTGATAGTATGCACCATAGAATTTTCGCTTGTTATTTTTTAAGTTTGCTTCTAAATGTTTTTTTATAATTATTGCATGTACAAATGTGGTATTTATTAAACGAAGGATACTGTGTGTTGATCTAGATTCTTTTGGCATATAAAGGATGTTTTGTATTTCGCACAGAGTTAGTAAAAGTTTAAAAACAAAGTGACCAACCTTGTAATGTTCTTGAAACCAGTTAGTAACTATTAATAAACTTTTTCGATAGTTGGCAGCATTTTTTGCTTTAATGCCATTAAATGAGGTTTTAATTATATTTTCTACAACTTTTTTATCTTTTTTTTTCTACTAAATATGGCAATTCATCGAATATATTTTTAATATGGTTTGAAATATCATGCATTGGTTCATTATTTAAAATTTCATAGTGTAAAAGATTTAGTTGTGTTAAGAAAAACCTGTTTTTTTTAAAAGAAGAGCAGGCATACCTTGCACTTCATGCATTTCATTTGCCAATAGCTCCTTTAATTTTTTGACAGATGTGTTGAATGGATATTGAATATTTCTTTCATAAAGCTCTTGTTCAATCTGATCTTTTTTTAGACATGAATATAATTTGGTTTTTCCTTGGTTTACTGCCAGCTGTGAGGTGTTACTTGCATTTATATGGTCTATACAACTTTGTAAGGAAGTGTATGGGAAGCTTAATGATATTGATATATTATTAGAAAGATCTGCATGCATGTTGCATGCCCAACAAAAATAATTACCACCCTTCTGATGACCAGCTTCCAGCTGTGCTGCTGGATTGTCACCTTTGAATATTCTTGCAACATCTAAAATAGGTGTTCCCTTTTTAGGGAACACCTATTTTAATTCTAAGGGATTGCTCAATTGCAAAATGTCGTTAATCCTGTCATCACTATACAAGAGTTGCTGGTCATTGGAAGGACATCTACCAAGTATGTATAAATAAGGCTTTTCGACCTCTGCTTGAACATTTATTTCCTCTCCATACTTTTGTTTATATTAAAAGCTACTTAAAAATATGGCTGTATCGTACATTACACTAACAGTAACAAGAAAGTGAGTGTGATTAGATATACTGGAGCAATCATGCTAAAACATTAAATTCCTTGTTCTTTCATAAGTTTTAAGTATATTTATCAGCTCATTTTTAGTTAGAGTGTCAAATTCATCTTTATATTCCTGAATATTATCAAGAGCATCAACAATTTGCTGTCGAGAGAGTGCTTCTAGTTCATTATCGTTTCGAATTTTCATGAAAATCTCATGGTCTTTGAACATATTTAGTCTTATATCTTTCAAGGAAATTTTTCTGCTTTCAATAAAAACCTCTTTTTTTGTAATTTTTTGATTTTCAGATGATATAAATACTTTTTCATATTTTTGGGGTACAATCTTTTCCCCTGAATTATATGTTCCATCATCTATTTTTTTTTGAGTTGCTGCTTTATTTCTTTATTAGTTGGCTCGCATGGCAAAGATATATCTCTGATGTATGGCAGGTTTAACCTATAAATAAGTTAAACCATAAATGATTAATAAAATATGAAGAGTTTAACCTTAATTAATGAAGAGTTTAATTAATGATAAGTGAAAGAAAGGTAATAAATACCTCCGTTTTTTTCTTCTATATTGTATATTATTTATATTAGTGCCATCAAGGTATGTATTATCTGACATTTTTCTTTTTAGATTTAGTCTTTTTAGATCACAGTTCATAGATTCTAAAAGATTTTTCAGTACTTGGCCTCCGTTTGCGGGTGTAATACCTAAAAATTATTTTGTTTAAAATTCTTGTTTTTTTATTGGTACTTAATACTATTAAAATGGTAAAACTAATTTATTAGCATAATACATTTATTATTAGTTTATTCTTTTTTTCAATATACTATAACATAGATATTTCAAACTATTACCTTTTTTGTTTGTCACAGAAAATTTACGTGCTTGTTCAGAAAAGTTTATTTTAAAACCATTAGGGTAGGATGAAATTTCATCTAAACACTCAATTTGTTTCCAAGAATATTTCTCAATAGAACCGACAGGGTTTCTTGCTTTTTTCTCTCCCTAAATTAGTGGTAGAAGAAAAAAAGAAAAAACTTTGTATAAGCCTCACTATATGCACCTTTCAATCCTTAATCCTTCTCTGTAGTATGCTAGAAGGTATATAACATAACTACATAAGGAATGGCTAGTACTTCTCTGTACTTAGAACACATTTGTCATATGGATTGTTAAACGAGCTCTGTGAGTGTTTCCACATCTCGTAGGTTATATATATACATATATATATATATATATATATATATATATATATATATATATATATATATATATATATATATATATATATATATATATATACATACATATATATATATATATATATATATATATATATATATATATATATATATATATATATATATATATATATATATATATATCAGTGTTTGGAAGAACGCGTTCCAAAAGGAACGGATTCCTAGAATGAGTTTCTTTTTTGAGGAACGGAGCTAAGAACTGGTTCCTTTTAAAACAACAGAACAAGGAAAGAGAACGAATTCCTTTTTTTAAGTAACGTGAGCGAAAAGTCAATATTTTTCGTTCACGTACCTTAAAAAAATGAATTTAATTGATCCTCAAATATTAAAACCCTTATCCTTTTGTTATAGTTGATTTTACAGCTGTAGCCAAATACAAACATATGGCCACAAGTTATAATACCAAGGCCATCTGTTGCATTTAATTAATGTGTATATTGTCCCAATTATAAAAAATGCATACATCATTAATGATCATATGAGCTGATAAGAGCTATATGGTGAAAGTTGAATTTTCCTTAATTTGATATTTATTAGGTTTTATTGGTTTATCTAGAAAAATCCCTACATACTACTCCCAGGGGTCACTGGATAAACTAATGACTTGTATCTGTTGAAGTTTCTTTCCATTGATTTTCAATATCGTTTTTTATTTTATTTGCATCATATCTGTGTTTTATTTTTTCATTGTGTGGATTAGGTAAATTGATCTTCATAGCCTTTGTGAATGTGGTAGAATATTTTTTCTTAAAGTCCTGATCTAGTCTGATTAGTGCTTTATGAGTTGCGATTGAAAGTTTTTTTTGCCTATACATTCCTCTTTTTTCTGCTTTATATTTGAACCTTTTACATTTGACAGGAAATTTTTCTAACACTTTTTTTAATCTTTTATTAGTTATGCATCCTTGACAGTTAAAAAGGCTATGAAGCATTTTTGAGCTTCCTAAGTTATTAAATCTTTCTTTGGAAAAGGTAAGCAAAATATCTTTCAAATACAATTTTGAACTGGACCCCTTTAAGTTTTTTATATGGTTAACAATAACCGGGCCTTTTTTTTTTATTTGTTCATAATCAAAGTGAAATATAGGATTTTTTTCAATATAAGTTTTGTATTGATGATTGAGCACTCTTGACCTAAAAACTTTATAATTTTCATTTACTAAATGTTTGATTTTATGTTTTTCAGT